ATATTTGCAGTATCTATAGAACCTATCGAATCTACATACCGTGCCGTACATACCGTGCCGTACATACCGTGCCGTACATACCGTGCCGTACATACCGTGCCGTACATACCGTGCCGTACATGCCGTGCCGTACATACCGTGCCGTTACATACCGTGCCGTACATACGGTAAAATCTAAAAATTCGTAAAACTTGTACTTGCAGACTATTATGTTGAACCCTATTTCTATCTATGCAGGTGAGTTCTTCATGTATTGTAGATTCGGCATGCTATTGTAGATTGCGCACAGTATTGTGGATTCGGTTTGTTATTGTAGATTCGGTACAGGGTATTGTAGATTCAGTTCGTTTTTATTGTAATGTACGGTACGGTATGTACGGCACGGTATGTATGGCACGGTATGTAATGTAGGCACGGTATGTACGGCACGGTATCTAGATTCGATAGGTTCTATAGATATTACCGTGACCGTACATACCGTAAAAGACACCGAATCTACAGTATACCAAACAAAAGGTATTCAGTCATAAAAGACTAAATGACATTTGAAGAAAATAATAATGTAAATATTTTAAAGATAGTTAATGAATTTAGATATTACAATCTACAAAACTCTACAATATGTTTGGTAAATGAGATTCAGACAGTAAAATTAAGTGATTCTGAAAGGCTGGACAGACCAAGAATTGCCTTTTGTATTTCCTTTTTGTAAAACAGCTGTATCTTTATCGTATTGTAAGCTTTAGCTTAGCTCAATTGAATTCTTTTCAATAAAACATTTATGAATCTGAAATTTCAAATTTTTCATCCATATATATGGAAAAGTGTAGAGATTGTTGGCAAAAAAACGGGTAAAACGGTGAATAGTATCCCATTGACGTTTTTGACGAAGTTCTGATCTAACATTTCGAGTAAAAGAGCTTGATAAACCATCAAATAGAACCTTTTAGCATCAAAAAAAGTTACAAAGATACTCAAGAATCGCCAGAGGACTCGGGCACACCTCTTCCGACAGCACCGTGCCTCCCCGGCACTACTCTGCCACAGGACAGGGGGCCTGGGCCACGACCTGGGCCACATTTCACAGACCACCGAACGGGCCCTGGGAGGAACAACGCATCGAGCCCCTTGAAAGGAACCTCCTCGGGCTGGCAGAGACGTACTATGACCAAGACCTAAGAAGTAGCCTGGATATCGCCACCTCTCGGGACCCAGAGATCCAGTGGAAGTGATCGAGAAAGACTCAAATGGGCCGGCCACGTAGCCAGAAGAACAAACGATACGGACGATACGGATCACAGAGTGGCTACCACGAGACCAGAAGAGGCCCATCGGAAGACCAGCAACGAGGTGGAGCACAAGAGTGGCAGCGACGGTCAGAGAAAGGATGGCTAGAGTGCAACCACCACCAGCACAAGCAAGTCGAAGACTTCGAACCAGGAACAACCAAGATAGGAAACACTGGATGACAATAGCAAGGGAGAGAAATGTGGAAGCAGGTTGTGATCTGCCAAAATAGGAACAACTAAGTGCGAAGACAAATCAAAAAAAGAATAGAACCTTTTCTGTCGACCAGTTGCGGCGATGAACGACGTAGGATCACGATATCGTTTTCCCTAAAACAACTAAAGCACAAGAGAAACATTTGACTCTTGGATTTCAATATAAACTTTTGACTCATTTATTCAAAGTCCTTAAATTGCTAAAAAAATTCTAATAGAAGCCATTCTCTTTTGCCTAGAAAAAATGATTGAAAAGCGGTAAAAGAAAGCGGATTTTTAATCATCTTCTATGCATTTTTCTAAGTGCTGGTTAATGCTAAAATATGTGGTTATATCTCCAAAAATTGCCCATCCTTTCCACTTTAATTTGATCCCTAAGTGTACAGAAACAAACGTACTGGTGTCGAGATCTGAGTGGTTCTTTGAGTGCAAACTTAGAGGACCAATAGGGGCAAGTCCTACTAGTTTTTACGGTAATTTAATGGGCTTTTTGCGAGTTTAGAGGACTTTGAATAAGTAGTCGAGCTTTAAACGTCTATAACTTTCTACAGAGACTTGATTTTCATGTAATTACGATATATTTTAAGAGAAGACTTATTTCAGGCTTTCGAATGAGACTAAATAGATTTAGAGCTGAGATTTAGAGCTAGAGTTTAGAGCTGAGATTTAGAGCTGAATTGGATAGACGAGTTCCTAGATAATCAAATGAGCAAGTTGTCAAAATCAAGTTGTAAAGTGATTACAAGTTGTTGTTGGTTGGCTCACTTCTGCTTTGATTTCTCGTAGCGATTCGATGGGATAGAATATCGAGAAATCAAAGCTGAAACTGCATTCTACAGATTCTGGGACTTCTTATGATTCAGGCCTGCAGCAAGGCCCAGTCAAGATCTAGCGTTTGTCTGGCTACGTCTGAACTTGCCCATGAAATGCACATGCTAAATATGTATCAGCAGTTTAGCAGCAGCGTGTCCAACTGTTGACTTGCTGACTATCTTCGCACATAGTCAAAGAGGCAAAGAAAGTCAACAAGTCAACAGTTGGACACGCCGGTTCTTTATGGGTTAGAGCTGGGAATATGGGTCGGCGCTGGGATTCGAACCCGCGACCTTATCGGACGAACCCGATTACCGGACGAACCCGATTACCAGGCGAACCCGATTACCAGGCGAACCCGATTACCAGGCGAACCCGATTACCAGGTGACACCGACTCTATGAATGCTACACCGATTCTACGAACGCCGCTACACCGACTCTACGAACGCTGCACCGACTCTACGAACGCTACACCAACTCTACGAACGCTACACCGACTCTACGAATACTACACCGGCTCGTACCCGAGCCGCCAATGTAGCGCCTTATGTCTTACTCAACAATGTACCTGGGCAATAAAGCGACACTTCGCACAAAACGAGAACAACCAAACCAGCATGATTTACACCGGTAGCAAATAAAACAAAAAGCGATAGCGTTAAAACCAATAAAAGTTTCATTTTTGTGACAGTGTAAACTTTAAAACTCTTGCAAATGTTTGAGTACTTTGTTTACGATCTTGAAACTCACTATCAGCATTTCGTTGACCTTGAATCTTTTTGATATAATTGCACGTTTATTTTCCAGAAAACCCTCTTGCCCAGAGTTGATTGTTGATTTGTTGTTGATAAAAAAGAAAACCAGTTTGAAAATTTTCTAAAAGATTTATTTAAAATCCAATATCACAAAACGCTCGAGAGCCTTGGCATTCACCGCCCGCTTGACCAAAGAAATCGTTCTTTCTGGAATTTCAAAAGCATTTGATCAAAAGTCAGTTTATTGCTGAATAGCTAAAATGAATTTTAAAGATTCTGCACAATCTTGGATTCACAAAAATGGATTACCGTATTCAGTCTAGATTAGGGTTATCAGTCTAGATTAAGGTATTCAGTTAAGATTAGCTGGATTACGGTAGTTAGTCTAGATTAGGGTGATCAGTCTAGATTAGAGTATTCAGTCTAGATTAAGGTATTCTTTGCAAAGTAAAACAGATGAGCTATTTTATAGATTACCCAAATCTTTACAAATTAAACGCCAAAAATGCGAGGAGATCATTTGCCGTCACTCTGTATGTGTCTCACAAGGAACTGTAATTTTTAAATCAAAAATCCTCACTCACAACACCGCGTCAACGGCCAAAATTGTCCATCACCACAAAAGCCATCACAGGCGTAAACTCGAATAACTGAAACTGATCATATTAGCACCAAAACTTATGACTTTTGACTACAGCAGGATTACTACAGTAGGATTTTACATGCTTGAAATTGAAGTGGTACAAGTAAACAGCAAAAATTCCTGTGCCTGGCGGTTGTTTAAAAAGCTGAAAGAGAATTGCTATATTTCAAATTGACCGTCTTGCATCTGCCAAAGCATATCTGTGAATCCAACTCTTATTCTACTTTTAAAAGACATACAAACCGGCTCGATCGACTAACGTCGCGCCGAGCACCCCTTCAAGACCCCTGTAACAATAACTTCGCTGCGAGGCAACTCAAATTTGCATACTTCAACTCCATGGCTTGAAAACATTCAAAGCAAAAGTTTGGAACGGAGGGGAATCGAACCCGACACCCCCCTTAGAGCAGTCGTTTTGTAGACGCGACGCCAACCACCTCGGCCACGCCCCCCTCCCCCAAGGCCTGCCGAAGTTAAAAAGGGGCGTGGCTAAGAGGTTCTCCTAATCTTTACAGGTTTTTGATGACAAACTTCTTTTGTGTTTTCTTGTATCAAAAAGTATGTACTTAATCATTTTAATTTCCTCGATCAATCAAAAAGTTTGTTTGTCGAAATCGGCTCACGGGAAGCCGAGATCCAGAGTGTGACGAACAGACGGACGGACAGACGGACAAACGGACAGACAGACACACGGACAGACAGACAAACGGACAGACAGACAAACGGACAGACAGACAAACGGACAGACGGATAGAGAGACGGACGGATAGACGGGCGGACGGACAGACGGATAGACGGACAGACGGATAGACGGACGGACGGACGGACACTTCTCTTTTATATGTAGTAGATTGTTTCTTAGATATTGATTTGAAGTGAATTCATTTGAAGATGGTGCTTAAATTTAACGTTAGATTTATCATTCATTCATTTAACAAGTTCGAATTCAGATTTGAATTTGAATAGAATTAATTTTATTCTTTAGTCTCTACAACTTTTCTCTTCTTGTGTTCGATAAGTTTACTGTGTGTCATTTTGTGAATTAAACATGTTCGCTTGTCACTTTTTTATGTTTACATGAATAAACTATATAGTGTGGCTAAAAATAGCTAAAAGTATTTAAAAAACTAACTCTTTGCCTTGACGAAAGCTATAATGAAAAATATTAGCAGCAGTGAATGTAATGAGACAAAACGCATTGAATAGGTAAGTGATCGTCGGCGTTAAACCAATACAGATTATTGGTTCTTCAAATAGAATGTAAAAAGAATGTAAATAAGATTTTGGAATGAAATTCGATCAGCTGTGATCAGCGAAAGTGTCGGGGGAAATGAGAGTTCGGAAGAGAAAGTGAGTGAGGGGTGAAATGAGGAATCGGTTGAATGAGTGGAACAGCCAGCCGTCTCTCTTTTCTGGAAGTGGATCTCTTTTAAATTTCATTCATCTTCACCGCCAATCTCATGCCATTCACCATACCTTTTGGATTCGATTTCATTCTCATATTCGATCAAAAATTCCATCTCTTTTATGGGTTTTTTACTGGGTAATTAGGATTGTTTTATGGCGATTTGTCACGCTAAAGTTTTGAATTGGAATAGCAAAATAAGAAATGTGTTTTGCTCTTTGCTTCAAATGCTAATTTATATTTACAATAGCTTTTAAAATGAAGACTCCATTTTAGAGTTGTTTTTATACGTATTTACTGTACCATACTTAGAGGGCTGATGATTGTCATCAGAGCTGATGATTGAGCTGATGATTGTTATGATTGAGCTGATGATTGAGCTGATGATTGTCATTTGTCTTTTTCGAATGATCTTGCAGAAACTTTTAATAAACGGCTAATGAGATCAAGTGAAATTCTAAGAATGACAAAAGTTGACACGAAAGATTGGCGGATCTTTAGAATGACAATGCAAGACAAAAAAATAATCAGAATACCCATATAAGACTCAGATTTGTTTGTCGATGTTTGATGATAAATTTCACAAAAAAGTTTCGAAGCCAAAAAGTTCCAAAGCTTAGTCCAAATGTCAATAGTCCAAATGTAGTCGATACTCAAGCTCCAATGGACAATCGGATGCTCTTTGCCGCCATCTAAAAGACAGCTATATCATAACTAAAAGACGCCAGCTTTTCAGAATCTTCTTCAACAACAATTTGTAAATAAAGAATAGAGCTTTCTGATAAAACAAACCATAGATCGTTCATTATTTATTTCAAAAAGTTAGCTTTAAACAAGCGGACAAGACTTTCCGGTCAACCTGTTAACTACTAGCCTCACTAGCCAGCTTAAGAGCTTTATAAATATAGATATTCTGGGCGAGTCAGAAGAGCAGCCAGGAGACCAAGCACGGACCTAGCTTTGAAAATGACCCTGACCTGGTCTAGGCCTGGCTTTGGCCTGCTCTAGGCCGGCCCATAAAAGCCCCTGGACCCATCAGAAGCCAGCTAGGCCTAGACATGACCTTGCTCTGGCTTTGCTTTCAGGCCATAAAGGCTGATTGGAAAATCCTTGTTCATAACACAAATAGCAACTAAATACTCAAAAACCAGGCCTGCTCCTCAAGGCCATAAGCATGGTTCATTATTGATTTCAAAAAGTTAGCTTTAAACAAGCGGACAAGACTTTCCGGTCAACCTGTTAATCACTAGCCAGCTTAAGAGCTTTATAAATATAGATATAAGCTTTATAAATATAGATATAAAGCTTTATAAATATCGGTTTGCTTTCGGCGAACAAGCGGACTAACTTTAGCTCAAATTTCTTTCATTTCTGCTAATCACAACGATCATCAGCCAATCACAACGATCATCAGCTAATCACAACAATCATCAGCCAATCACCTGGTCATTCGAATGAATTGCATTGAGAAATCTTTCCCCATCAATTCGTTATTGCAAAAGATGTCCAATTCTTGATATCGACTCACATCTTTCCATAAACACATTGCCAAATATCTAGAAATTACATAAAAGCTTTGTTAGAAATTCACTTTGTTAGAAAAAACCTCTTCAAAGTGTTTATCGTAGCCAATGATGATAATCGGATGATGTTTCGAGCAGCTTTGGCTAAGCCTTCGCCTGGCGACAATTCCACCACAGTCTGGAAGGTTTTGCTAAGTATTTGATTCCTAATTCTTTTAGTTTAAAGCTTGTCGCTTGAAGCTTGAAGCTTGAAAACACATATCTTATCTTAATACAAAATTTGAATACATAAATTCACCTGATTTCCATCTCGATGATGTGATAGAATTGCTTTGCCCTCGAAGCATTTATTGTAAGCGCCGACAGTTGGTTCATCCTGAAAATTGAAAATGAATCAGTTTACTAAAGATTTATGGTGATTGTTTGTATGAAAGAATAGATTTCTTGAGCTTATCTGCAACTCTGACTAATTCAAAAGGCTTTGTATCCATCAAAAGCCAGATCCGACCTAGCTTCTAGCCGGATATTGACTAGTCTGAGAATTTTTGTTCACAAAAAGCCCTGGGACGGTTAGGATTGAAGTTGGATTAGGAGCCGACTCTTCTTCTGATCTGATCTCTTTTTGTTAGTCTATTCTGGCCTGGCTTGTACTGACTACAACCTAGGGCTCTATTGAAACAATCATAGGGTGGCCGACAATTATAGCGCCGCACTTCAGAGCCCTAGATTGACCAAGATTGGGTCAATCGTTCTGATCTTTCTGCAGATAAATCTTTTAGTATATCTTCTAAAACGGTGCCCATTATCTAATCGATTCAACCTTTCAACTTTTTATATAACCTTCCAAAGTTGAGAGTCGAGTGTCGCTCGACAAGCTACTCATTTATAAGATTTTTGAGAGCGATCTTGTCAAAATCTTGTTGAGGTGGAATTTATTAGGTTAATGAACGAAATCACACATTCTTTACGCAATTTAAGTGCAAAAACTCTTCAGAAATGTCATCAAAACTCGCTTAAAATGGTCTACAGGCCAGTAGCCAGGATTTCGGTGTTGGGTTTTTGGAGAATCGTTAGAGCTTCGTCCAGAAGCGCCCAATCAATTTACGGGAATTTAGCAAAAGCTTTAAGCTAAGAAGTGAGTTAAAAATCCAATTTAAAGCTTGTGGAGCGAGCTAGAGGCGCTCAAAGTTAGGCAGATGCGCAAAAGAGTCGTGACAACCCAACTTTGAGCCCCCTCTGGCTCGCTCCACAAGCTTTAAATCGGATTTTTAGCCCACGAGTCCTATGTAAAACAACACGGAGAATCGATTGGCGACGGTTAGAAGTTTCCTGGATAACGACTAAGGGTATAAAATGCCAATGCTGGCAAAAAGCAAAGTCAAATGGCAACTTCAAGAAGGTTTCTTCTTTTTCACCACTAACCTTTTTCTTCCCACTCTCCGGCTCCTCAACAATTCCCTCCTTTTTATTCTTCCGTCGAATAAAGTCAAATCTTCTCTTTTTCTCCTCAGCAAACATGCCTGAAACTTTGATTTTACAGAACACTTTTTAATAGATTTTCTTGTTTTGATTCTGAACCAACCGGGTACAAGCCGATAAACGATATCCTGCAGTGTTCTGTCAAAAGCCACATAGTGTGAGGGATGAGATTGGTGAATCAATTCTCCGCATTGTGGGCAATTGTTGTTCACTTCCTGAATTGAATAGTTTACTCGGATACCTCTGTGGTTAGAGTAATTCCCCTGGATAGCAAAAGGTCGTGGCTTCAATCACCTCTCCGAAAATCTATTTAATGATATCCGTTAGCTGAATTGATTGAGCCCTTTTGATTCTCCGATTATTGAGTTACTGTTATCGGCTTACTGTTATCGGCTGTTTGGATTGGTGAATTGAAAACTGCGGGCTATTGTCATATGTGACAGTTTGAGCACTTTCTTCAAAAGAAATTTATTTTGGTGTCAATGGAAAAGTTGTAGAGAATCAAAAATAAAGCTTATCTCCAAATTTTCAGAACGATTCAAAAACTGGTTTTCAAGAAATGAGAAATTTACGAATTTTCACAAAACTTGCATTTTAAGCGAAACTACTAAGTGTATCTTTTTGGAAATTTGGCTATAAGCCTAATTTTTGATTCTCTACAACTTTTCTATTGACACCAAAATGGGTTTCTTTTGAAGAAAGTGCCCAAACTGGGACATCTCCAGTCTCCATCTCCAGTCCTCCATTTTTGAGTCTCACACTTGTCTCACACACAAACCAAAATCCTACTACGAAAGAGGAATCCGCAAATTGCCCGTAAAATGGACAGAAGTCGTCAATAATAATGGAGATTATTTGGAATGAATTGATGGTTTTTATGTTGAATAAATTTTAGTTCAAAGTCCTGCAGTTTTCAATTCACCAACCCAATAGAAACGCTTTACTAGAAATGATTTACTAGAACTGCTTTACTAGTAATGCTTTACTAGAAATTCTTCAAGATTTTTACAGAAAGATGAACTGGAGTGGCACGGCTCAACAATTGAAAAGTTGAAAGATTTAGCTTAAAAGGATTGTTGAAATTGAAAGATTTCAGGTTCAAGCTTTTACAAAGGACTAATGAAGGCCTTAATTTTTTTAAACTTTTGACACATCAAAGCAGCTTACCCCCTTAGAATGTTAAGAATGCTAAGAATGTTAAGAGTGCTTGTGTAAGAGTTTAAGTTTAACGATCAAGCAAAACTGCTAGCGGATAAATGGTGTGATAAAATAAAATAGCGCAAACGTTTTTAGTTTTTTGATTGAGTTTTGAAAAGAGTTAAGAATAAGCGCTTTCGGAAATGTGTCACTTTTCGAAATTTACCCTAATCTTATTTATTCTTGGGCTGGTTTTGTCAAAGTTACTGAAGAAGAATCGATTTAGATTAGATTTAGATTTGACAAAATTTGAGCCAAACGATATTCTTCAAAAATTGAAATCTCTTATTGAAAATATATTTTTCAATTCACCAACCCAATCGAAGATCGATTTTAATCTTTAGACCTTCATTTTAAAAGCCTATTTAGAAGTAATCAATTCACCAATTGATCCACGCTTTGCTCCATTAGAAAGGCCTAATATTTTCCTATAAAAGATCGTTGAAATCTAAAGAAATGTTTTGTTTCTGTTTTATTCGCAGATTTGAACGTCAAAAACGACTCGATTACACGATTTAGACACTTTCGTTCAAAGAAACCTTGCCAATTCCTTCTTCTTTATTGTTATCAAATGTACTGTGCTTTACCTTAAACGACGTAGGCTTGTTAATGCAAGAAATCTAGTCGGGAAACTCAATTCCTGATTTGCCAACTTCACTTACTTCAAAATGTTTCAGTAAACAAGATTTACAAAGGTGTGCAGACATTCGATGACCGTCGTTGCGTCAACGAAATACCCCTGTAAATTGGATTTTAAATCTAATCATAGTTTAAAAGAATACACCGGCGACATATGGTTTATTTACGATATACCTCAATCACGATACAATAACACACACAATACTAGGCTATTTCTTAACTTAATCCACGCCATGACAGGCGGCTCTTAATCCATAATCCTTAAAACTTAATCCACGCCGTTCCTGAGTTGATCGTTTAGTTTTGTCAAACTGGTAACAAATACGAGCTTTTGTAGTCCTTCGCGTCAAAGCCCTCTTCCTAACCCTAAACTCAATGGGAAACTAAATAGCTTTTTTGGTGGTGGAGGGAAGATGACGATGAAGGAGTGGCTTGTCACTTTAAAGAACTGGATCCACAACCACCAGATTACCCTCCCGGGTAGTCTGGTGGTTGTGGTAGAAGGGTAGAATTGGTAGAATGGTAGAACTGTGGTAGAATGGTAGAACAAAACTGGTAGAATCTTTCAACCCGAAGAAAGGAAATCGACGCTGTCGCACACTGGGTTCCGAACCCTTGACCTTCCGATTAAGATAAAAGACACTTAAGCAGTCAGCCAAACATGGCTTTGTTTAATTTTGTGTTTAATCTTTTCGTTAACAGTTTTGAACTGACCTTGCATAGCCGACAGGTGATGTGATCGTTTATTTTTGTCAACGGTAGCAAATACGAGCTTTTGTAGTCCTTCGCGTCAAAGCCCTCTTCCTGAATTGTTTTTATTCCTTAAGCTGAATGATTGGCTAGTAAATATTGGATTTGTTATGATTTTTATGATTGTTATTATGTCAGAATCGAATTTTGTCGTCAGAATCCGATCCTGACAATTGAATCGAAGCCTGAGAACAGAATCGGATTCTGACGACAGAATCCGACTCTGTCGTAACATTTCATTACCCGATCGATTACCCGATCTTTACTCTACGTTTACCAAAAGAAACATCTAGCTGACGTCTAGCATCTAGCTCAATTCAAACATCTAGCATCTAGCTCAATTCAAACATCTAGCATCTAGCTCAATTCCTCCACTAATAGTAAAAGAGGCACCAGAAAGGATGTGTTTCTATTCTAACCACAAAAAGAACAGAACAAATAGATTTTCTTCTAATAGAACGAATTTCAACTATTAAATCCACCCTAAACTGTTCTTGCAGTATACTTTGTACTTTAACGTGACACATCTCTTCTCATTACACTCAATTCTTCATTTTTCTAGTAGCAACGATTGATTTGGCAAGAAAAACTCAGGAACCTGCCCTGGAAAGTGCACTAGAAAGAGTTTCTCATTTCCCGAGCTCAAAGTGGATTCAAAAGAAATATAAACTGAAAATTCTCAAAATTCACTTACTTTTACATCCTTTTCAGGTCCATTTCTCGTTTTCCCCTCCTTTTTAATCGGTGGTTGTGCTTCTTTTTCTCCTTTTGAAGTCGATCCCTCATCATTTTCTCGTTTCTCTTTCCTTTTCATAATCTAGGAATTTAAATTTGATAAAGCTAAGGAACGATTTCGACTTTGGAGTGAAAAAAAGCAAATACTGGGGGTGGGACAGATGCGAGCCTTTTTGCGCACCTGGACATTTGCGCACCTTTTTTTGCTGGAAAAGGCCTTAGGGAAAGTCGTAGAGCTTCAAAAAACGTTTTCATGAGGGAATCGTACTTGCGTAGATTACGGATTTCGACAAATCAGACCTGCTGACACGTCAAATTTGGGCTAAAAAGGCAAAAACTGGGACGCAAATTCACGCTTTTCCGCAGTTTTGGCCTTTTAGCCCAAATTTGACGTCTCAGCGAGGTCTGATTTGTCAAAATTCTGAATCTACGCATACGATTCCCTTATATGGAAATATTTTTGAAGCCCTACAGACCTTCCCAAGGCCTTTTCCAGCAAAAAAGTGTACAAATAGTCCAGGTGCGCAAAAAAGGTTGCATTTATCCCACTTCTAAATAATGAATAACAAATACTAATACAATACAATCACAACCAATAATCAATAACAAATAAACAAACACCAAAATAAAAGGCAAAAATAGACTATAGTTATTAAAAGTGATCGTTTGGAAATGGGTTTTGAACAATTTTGAACAATTTTGAACAAAAAAACAAAATTCAAAACAATTCAATTCAATTTTCTCATTTTCTCAAAACGATTTAGCTCTATTTCCCAGATTATATTGACAAGTGTTTCCTTTTTTATTTTGTTTTATAAAAAGCTAAACCTATTGAAAAATGTTGTTACTCAAAATTTATAAAGAAATGAGCTTTTGATGAACTAAATCGCCAATTTATATTAATAAATATCGCCAATAAATTTTCTACAAAGAAAATAAACAAATCCTGGCTACTATATAAAGTTTTTCTATAGAGCTGTTCGAAAATGGGTTTTCGAAACTGCTTGAAGTGAGTGAAAAGATTTCATCATGAATACCGAAAAATGTGAGTATTGAATGAGAAACATTTGCTGTTTAGAAATTTAGATTTAAACTTTAAAACGGTTAAAATAAAAGTGGTGGAAATACTGGGAGGTTTTTTCTAGTTGGCGACGATTGGGGAGAAAGAGAAAGATGGAGGGGAAAGAGAGAAAAGAGGAGAAGAGTTGACCTGGGATGGGAGTGCAGAGTGAAGGGTTGGGGAGAGGGGGTGAGAATAGGAAAAGATGAGAAATAGAGGAGGAGAAGATGCGAAGATTTAGAGTTTGAAAGATTGTGAAAGAACTGCCAAAGAAGATAAATGAGTGAAAGATGGAGAAATTAGAGTGAAGGGATTCGAGATTCCGAAAGAGCATAGAGATTGGAGAAGATTGAGAGATTGAGAGGAAGGAGAGAGAATATTGACAAGATTGAGGAGAAAAGAAGGGAGAATATTGGCAAGATTGAGAGATTGAAAGAAGAAGAAGAAAATATATTGACAAGATTGAGCTAAAAAGATTGAAAAAGATATGAAAGAAATCTAAGAAGGAAAAAGACGTAAGAGATTGATAAAACCCAAAAATATTCGGAGAATCTATAGAAATGAGAATACCAGAGTCAAATAAAACTCTTCGAAAAGCAAAAAAGAGATTTGAAGAGATTTGAAAAGACTTTGAAAAGAGCTTTGCACAGAAAGAGCTTTGAAAGAGCTTTGAGAAAGAGGAGTTTGAAAAGCGAAAAGAAAAGATCTCAGGCTTTAAGGGAGCAAAGATTTTCGCGGAGAATCAATTGAAAGAGAGATCACGAAAAGAACATTGATGGAGGAGAGAGAGCAGACCTTGGGAAGAGCGCCTTGCCAGAAAGCCAATAGAAGACACAGAGCATTTAATAGTCAGAGCAAAGAAAACACTTTTACAATTGTTTGGTCAAAAGCATGAATAGAAAACGATAAATGCTTCGCAAAATGTTCAGCCTTTGTGTTTTAGCTTTTTCATACTGTAGTAGTTGCATACTGTAGTAAAGATAAAGTATAAAAGCCTAGTGCCTGTAAACAAACAAAAAGTTTAAAGATGAAAGCTAAGATTCATAGGTCGAAGGTTATTTCTACCAGAAAAATCGTGGGCCTTTCTAATGAAGCCAATTGTAGGTCAATTACTGAATTTGTCATTTAAACCTTATGTAGAAAAAGTGTCTAAAGACTTATGGGTAAACCCTAATACAACCAATACAACCAATAAAACTAGATTATCTGATCTTATTTTGGTTTTAGTCAACGAGTTAATGTAAAAAGCGAAGTTAGCTAACGAGCTGCACTTAACTAACGATTAAAAAGATAATTAAAAAGACAATTTTGTGGCTGAAAAATGAGTCGACAGAAAAATTGTTCACTAACCATTTTGAGCAAAAAAACGATCAGTAATTGCCAAAATTGTGGATCGATCCGTAATTGCCACTTTTATTAACCCCATCGGCAGTTGGCCGCTTTTTGTAGCTTGCTTCTGGTAAAGTGTGTGTAATTTCACCCGAATTCATTTATATTCTTACAATCTTTTCAATACAAAACATCAAAATGGTTTCATCACTTGCAAACAAAACGCCGATAACCGGCGAGGCTCCAATAGTTCCAATCGGTATAGCAAGATTTGTCGTTCAGAATCTATTATAAAAATGATTACGTGGGAGATTTGGTACACCATACCCCTTTTGCCATTAGCAATCCAACTTTGAGCTCAAATTTCTTGGTATTGGGCTGTCTAATTTAAATATTCTTGGTATCATTAAATGCGCCAAGTCTTTTCTCTGTCGATTGGTGCAAAAACTATTTCAATTGGACCGCCCAACATCCCGAAATTTCAGCTCAAAGGGAAATTAAATAGCAAAAAGAGGAAAGCCCTGAGGACTTTTTCTTGGCGCGCGTCCGCTGCCCTCCTTGCCATTGGCAAGAGCGTTGAGCTTAAATTTCTTGATCTTGGGCTCTCAAGGTGGAAATAGTTTTTGTACTAATCGACAGAGAAAATTTGGCGCATCTAATGATATGAAGAATATTTAAATACTTTAATACGCCAAAAAGCATGGGTTTCATTCTACTGCACAAAATACAATTAAGATTACCCCCCGAGCCATTGTCTCGTCGTTGATTGGAAAATAGACGTGATGTGAATAGTCAACTGGAGTCCCATCCACCCATGGGGTGTGTTGTCAGGGTAGGCTCTAAAAAGCTGAATAAATCTTTTCATAAGTGACGCTGGAGGTGCCTTTACGTTGTTTACAAATACAAAATTTTACTTCTACGATTCCGTCTGCTCAGGTTTACATTGAGAATAACTCTCTGATTTGTGGCTTATACAGGGTGTTCCAAAAGTTCTGTAGCACAAAAGCAGCTAACAAATGTCTAACTTTTAAAATGCTAAGTGTTATACAGAGATTTGAAGCCCGGAATCTTGGCTACATTTGCATGTCAAAGGGTTTTCGAATTAAAACACACAACTCATGTAACAAGCTTTTGAGTGAGCACCACTCGGTCTCTTTCCGGCATGCTGTCATTTTTGTCGATTCTCTTTAATAAAACATTTCGTTCAGAATGGCTTCCCCAAAACAATTTTCAATTTTCAAAACAACAAACAATATTCTTGTTTAAAAATGAAGTTTAGTGCATTTATAGAGCTAGAGCAGCTTTTTATACATCAAAAATTTGAACGTGAAAATGGCAGCGTGCCGAAAAATTCGAGTAGTGCTCACTCAAAAGCTTGTTACATGAGTTATGTGTTTCTAATTCAGCTTTTGGCATTTAAATGTAGCCAAGATTCCAGGCTTTAAATCTCTGTATAACACTTAGCATTTTTAAAATATGTTAGACATTTGCTAGCTGCTTTTGTGCCAGAACTCTCGGAATACCATGTACCAAATTCATGCGAGATTGGAAACTCAACAAGTGCGGTGTAATCGACTTAGGAAAGTGCTGAATCCAACAAAATGACTCATTTTTGGTTTTTAGATTAGCTAAAGATAATGCGATAGGTAGAGCCGCCTACCGTAATCCAATCCACGCCTCAGCGTACCCACAGGATCCCGTCCCGCTCGGTACGTGCTGCGTTTGATCCAAAACGTTATACGAGGCCACTAAGTCTAAAAACTCATTCTTATTTAAACCTAAATCATCTAACCATTAACAAAGCTGTTTTCTGCATCGGAATGTATTGAGGCTAAACTTGAAGCTCGCATTTGGCATTGCTCTTGAGCGTCATCTGGAGTCCACGAAGCCCAGAGGCCATCACTACCAAGAGTGAAATTCTAAAAAGTTCAATTTTTCATTGAAGTTTCAACAAAGTTTCAACAAACTTGCACAAAATAACAATATCCGTTGAATGCTTTCCATCCGTCTTTGCAATTGGCTAAAGGTTTAGATTTTAGCCGTTTTTGGGCTGTCGTTGCCGTTCAACTTACGGGCTGTCGTTGTCGATGGTCCAGTTGGGTTGGCTGGAAGTTGCTTTAGTAATTCGGTCACTTTATTCGATACATAAAACAAGACTAGTTTTAGCTCATCTACACTAAATATCGTAATACTACAGTAGTCTTTTCTTCAGATTTTTCATTCTACTAATTTTGATTTCGAATTGAAGAAAAGATTTACGGCAGCTTTTAGAGATCCCGAGCTTTTAGAGATCCCGAGCTTTTAGAGATCCCGAGCTTTTAGAGATCCCGAGCTTTTAGAGATCCAGAGCTTTCAGAGAT